ATACATAGTCCAAGAATCAATGAAACATAAAAATCAAAACACTTTCCAGTAGTGATGCAAATGTTTAAATTCTAATCATTTAATATTATTGAGTTTTGTAAATCTAATACAAAACCCAGCACCGTTATAATTTACGTGTGCAAATTTACCCATAACAAAATGTTAGCTTTGTCATTAATACAATTTCTCAAATGTTTAACAGTATTGAGCTTAAGCAAAATACATATACATATAATTGTCTTTATTTGGTATTTTTATATTCTTAAACATTGTTCATGTTCAGGGTCATAATAATTCATACATTCACACAGTAGCAGAATATTAAAGACTGCTTTATTTTTATTTTATAGACCTGTTTTTGTGTTAATATTAGTTTTTCTTCTTCTACCTTTACCCAATGCAGTGGAAGAAAGAACATACTTCTTTTGGTACATAAATGTTATTTGTTAGGCAAAATTTAATATTTTCTTGACTAAGAATCAACTTTCAGGTTTAAACCCCCCAAAATAGTGAGTCAGTTTTATATTATTGACTTAAACTTGGCATGGTTTGAACAGACTGTACAAGATCTTGGTTTAAAGATCGGGGGGGGGGGGGGGGCTTCTCCCCCAGAAAACGTTGAATAAATTAGATGCCATTTCCTGCATTCTGGTGTATTTAACAGTGGATTAAACATCTATGTTTACCTACATTTGTAAACACTTGATTCATTAACTGTTTTAGAGAGCAACAAGAGGTAGACTGACCGACAGCCCTCCTTGTGTGAATAAAGCACTCTCCGCTTCTCTCACGCATGAATACTATCTCCATCGCCACTGTCTTCATGTGCTTCAATTCTCAGTTGTTTAGTTGTACAATGAGAAGAGTTTTTTTTTAATTTATGAAAGTAAATTGGACAGTCTTTTTGACATTTTGATTATTTTGACAAACTGGAACCTTTGTTTTGATACGTGACGCACGTCACATGGTTACCCATCAAACATCTCTTTCGTATTTTTAATAAATAATCAAAATTGTATTAATGACCCCCTTAAACTGTACAACTGATTTGAAATTTAGTTGTGCTCTTTAATTATGTTTTTGTGTTTTTAATTGAATTGCTCATGAATTTTAGGGGCAGACATTTTTTAAGGGTAGAAGCAGAAATGCTTACTTGAAGGGGCAGCTCTTGTGTGATATTAGGAAGCTTGTAAGTGGCTGTTGTGTTTAAAATTTATCTTTGTTATTTTTTTAAGTTACATATCCAATAGATGTTTTATTTGTTCAAGGGAGTCAAATTTGCTCATAACTTTATTATTGGTAAACCTTTGAGTTACCGGATCCAAGCACTCTGTCAAAATAAGAGGGTTCCCAGATTCTGTTCCTGCAGGATCCAGCTCAAATTAAGCCCTGGATTTAACCAAAAAACAGTTGCACTCTGTCATTTCTCTTTATAAAATAATCTTAGTCAAAAATCCTATAGCATAAATGTCAGTGGTATGCATTTGTTCAAGCAACTTTCAGCTTTTATTTACAATTTTGCAGTAAACACTTATGAATTTTAGAAAGTCAACAGGGTAATCAGTGAACGAATCTGCCTTTTTTTTTCCCCTCATCCCTACCTAAATTATGCACTGGAGCATTGTTTATCCATCAAACCAGGCCCTCTTCCAGCAATCCACTCACAAAGAAATACAGAATTAATTGGCAACACCAAAGCAGAGTCACAACAAACAGACAACTTTCTTCCTCTCTCCGTGATGCAAATGATATTCAGAGCAGGGGGGGAAAAAATGAGCCTGCAATGTTTCATGTTTCATTCCTTTTGGTTTTAATGCCAAAACAGAGCTGCTCTGAAGAGTGTTTTACCTCTCCGCCCACACTTCCCCTGGGCTCCAGCTGGATTTTCCCGAATTTAACAAATGCAGGATAGTGAGCAGCAATCGAGAAGGCAAATGAAGGATTGTGAGTGACGGTCTGATAATTGGGGTCCGCAGCTTGCTTTCTATCCTCTCTGATCTGGGGACAGGAAAGGAACACAAGTCAGGAAGGGGTGAAGCAGCAGGGCTTACTCAGCAGAAGATCCTGTTTGAAGCAGGGACACACACACTTACACACAACCTTGTGCTCTTACACCAGCCCAGTAGTGCACTCTGAAGTGACTTTCTTAGATATATTGCGTGTGTCTCACCTGTTTTGAAAGTTACTCTTCAGCTGTGTTATCAGCAGCCCTTGTGGAGTGTGCTATTTATCCATTCAGATAGGCGGCGAGGGGGGTGGGAGTGCTAAATGGTGCACCTTGGCGTGAGCTGTTTACTGCTGAGCCTCTCAGAGCGGTGACACATGCATTCAATTTGACTAATAAATCATTGATGGTCTTTTGCGAATCGATGGAAATGCAGTGTCAGTTTTGATACTTGATTAGCATTTCTGTCACTTCGCCTTACGTTTAACATAACTCCAGCTGTGCAACTCAATTCGCGCTGCCCATGGGCATGACTACGACGAACCATTCCTCAAAGTGACAGCCGGTCGTAGAAGCACATCCACAAATGTGTGATTTCACTGAATATATGAAACAAATAAAATGCAATGCAAGGCGTGTTGGCGTGCTGTTAAAAATGGAACAGGGATGGATGATTGGAGCTTTGTCTTTTGTCTTAGGAGCACAAATCTATCACTGCTGCGTTTGCTTTGATAATTCATGCATTCGCCTTAAAAAGTCTGTTTAATCCGCTTTAGTTTATGGAATTATGAGCAAAAATATTCATACAAACAAGACACGTTTTGAATTCTTTTATAAATTCATGTAGTTTTGCTCTAAAGTAAGAAGTTGTAAGAGGATTATTATAACAAGAATGTTTTATAATAAAACTTATCTGCTATCAAGGTTAAACTTATATGATTTATGAAAGCATAAGTAATAATTTAGACAATGATGATATCAACCTTGCCACCAGTTTGTTCAAGGAGAAGCTAAGGTTTTTGTTATTTATACATTCAGATTTTTCATATTTGCTTATTAAATTGTGCTGTTTGGATGCCTACAAGTGTGGAAGTTGTGGTAATAGTGTGAATGTTTATGAAGCATTCACACTATTGGGATTCATTTTTTCTTCTGTACGTTTTTCAGCATCTTTCCCATTCCACAATTTTTGTGATATTTCAACAAATCATATCAAAACGTTCAGCTGTTTCAGGACAATCCTGCTATGCTTTTGGTATTGGTGCAACAAAATATTTAGCCTTTTACTTTTCTTTTCTCATAGGAAAATGAAGAACTCATTTTACATCATATCTTTCACACCCTTTACACATTTTGTTCTGATTCAGATTCCTTCAGCTTCTTTGAGCAAATTTAAGCATTTTTCAGCTACTTTCAGCTACTTTCAGCTGTTTTTTCAGCTGTTGTGTGCTCCTTTCAGGTTCTTTCTGCTAACTACAATATTGCTGTGCTTCTTCTAACTTCTTTCTGCTATTTTTAGCTTGTTATGCTCCTTTCAGCCCATTTCTGCAAGTTTCAGCATTTTTTGCTATTTCAACTACTATTTAGCTGTTTTATGCTTTTTTATACTTTTCAGCTAATCCAACTTATTTTGCACCTATTTCAACTTTTTTCAGCGTAATTCAGCAACAATGTGCCCTCTCACCTTCATTCTAGTAATTTAAGCTCTTCTCTGCAGGTTTTTTTTTTTTGTTGTTGCTAATTTCAGCTTTTTTCAGATAGTTTCCACTTTAGTGCTCATTGCTGCTTCTTTCAGCCTAATTGGGCAATCATATTTTTTTTTCTGCTTTCTTATGCTAATTTAAGCTTGTTCTAAATTTTCAGGTAGCTTTTTAACTGTTTTTTTTTCCAACTGTTTTCAGATAAATTCAAAAAATATTATGTTAGTTTCTGCTACATTCAGCCTAATTAACTTAGTTATGCTAATTTCAGCCTCTTTTTTATTGCTCTTTCTGCTACTATTTAGCTCTTTTGATGCTAATTTTAGCTTTTCAACTAATTCCACATTTTTAACTCATTTCAGTTATTTTTGGTTCCTTCTGGTAGTTTAAGCTTCTTTCTGCCTTTTAGCTACTTTTCAGCTCTTTTTGTTTGCTTGTTTTCAGCTTTTTTTTTTTAGCTAATTTCCAAAATGTTGTGCTATTTTTTGTTTATTTAAACCATCCATCCATCCATCCATTATCTTTTACCCGCTTCTTCCATTTTGGGTCAAGGGGTCGCCGGTGCCCATGTCCAGCAATCACTGTGCGAGGGGCGGGGGACACCCTGGACGGGTCGCAAGTCCATCACAGGGACACATAGAGACAAACAACAATTCACTCTCTCACTCACACCTAGGGACAATTTAGAGTCACCAATCAGCCTAACATGCATGTTTTTGGTCTGTGGGAGGAAACTGGAGTATCTGGAGGAAACCCACGCATGCACGGAGAGAACATGCAAACTCCACCCAGAAAGGCACCTGGACCAGGATTTGAACCAGAGACCTGCTCGCTGAGAGGCAGCAGCTCTACCAGTTGTGCCACAGTGCTGCCCTGGCACATTCTCATTAAAATAAATTTCTGTGTTCACTTGAGGAATGTTGTAATTTAGTTGCATAATTTAAATGTTATTGTGTTCACTTACAAAATACATGTTTCCTTTTGTTGCATATTAAGTAGTTATTTTATTTTAGCTTTTGGAGTATTTTAGTCAGTACTTTCTGTCCAGTGAGATCAGAACAACTGTACATTTTGCTC